CAAGGAGTTCAACTTATTCTGGATTATATATCTGATATTGGTAGAGGTGTGGCTCAAATCTTAGTTACACTAGTGCCATACCTATGTTGTCCTTCCCATACTGTGCTCCAATCGGAATTAATTCCAAATTTCCCATGTAATGCCATGCAACCTGGACAATACACACACATGCGCGCACGCACACACACACATACACGCTTGCTAAGTCTTAGTTTTTTCATCAAGAAAATAAGCATAAAGGGCATTTCTTCAGAGGATTAAATAAGTAGGTAGGTAGGTGTAAATAGATGGGATGGATGAGCAGGCAGACATAGGTCCCTGACTTTTGTTAGTTCCTTTTCCTTGCACTTTCCTTTCCATGGGTATATAAATATCTAATTATCTCCTGACTAATTATTCAGGAGAACTGTATTTGATTGCCTTCTACTCTGTATTAGTTTTTTGTATTAATTCTGAACTGATAGTCTAAGAAATAATTTGAGCAATTAGATCACTTTCTTGAAAGATGAGCTTAGAAATTGACATTAATAACACAGATAACATAAAGGTATCTTAAAGACTTAATAATAGTGTGTTGAAAATATATACATAACAAACAAAATTAAGGGAAAAAATAGTATGTTCCAAACAGCTTTATCTGGAGGTTGTACTTCCTCCAATAGTAGAAAAAGTATTAAATGGTTTTTCAGACAAATGTCACAGTTTTTTTTAAAATAGCTTAGATGTTAGAAAACTATGGTGACTGTACATGAGGGGATAAATTCTATATTGTGAAAAATAAACAGGAATGTTTAAAATAAATAAATAGCTTTGATATGTATAACAGGCAGTAAAATGGGCCCCCACATCTTTATTCACTTTTGTGCAATGTATGCTTGTATGCTTTCTCCCTTTAGGTGTACTCCCCTTAAAATTCCCACCACTAGTTCACCTTCACCATAGTCCCTTGTAATAGTTTTCTTATTGATCTTAGACAGTAAGTTTGTGGTAATTTGTTAGAGCAGCAATAGGAATGAAAGCTACATTGCTCTTAATGAAGTCCATTATTACTTGTGGGTTATAGACTGCTCCTCCAGTATATCATTTTTTCTTACTTCTTCCTGTCCTTGACACCCATCTCACTGTCATTTCTCCATTGATGACTCCATCCTGAAAACTGCAATCATCTGGAACTACTCCCCATTTTGCTGTTACCTATGGAGAACTTGTCCTATGGACTATCTCCTCACATCTCCTCACACCATCCAAATTAGAATGAACTTCCCATCTAGGAGGCTTGCCCCACTTCCCAGTCATCTCTAATCTTGCAGTCTTCTGTGTAAACTATTCACATCTAGAATGAGATACCTCACATTCTAGACATCTTCCCCTTTCACCCACTGATTTGCATTATTAAACAGCAAACCTTGCTCATCTCTGTCTATGCATGTAAGCCTCCAGAGAAAATAGAGGCAGATTAACTTTCCAGTTTACTTTGTTTTTTAAAAGTTAACCTTTCTTTCTTTGTGACCTTCACTGTGATACCCCTGTACCTGAGCTTTGCTAGGTCTTCAACCTTTGGTTCCATATCCTTCCTTGATCAAAATCCTTGTGCCTTCCTTAAAGATAAAAATCTTTTATTCCTGGGCACCCCCTGGTGGCGCAGCGGTTGAGCGCTGGGCTACGAAGCTGCCCGCAGTCTCTGCAGCGCTGGTTTGATCCTTGGCCGTCGGGTGAGGGTCCTACATGGCACGACACACCTTTCCTGCTGCACCCGCTACTCCCCTCAGCAGTGTATTTCGTCAAGTCTGCCTGTTCTGTTCCCCACTCTGGCTCTGGTGATTTCTCTCACCCTCCTGTGCTTCTGACTGTACTCAGTGCTTGTATAAATAAATAAATAAATCTTTTTAAAAAATCTTTTGTTCCCTTCACTGTTTGTGAACTGGAGCAGAGCTTCCAGGGCTTTCGAAGTTTTTCTTCTGACCAGGGATTAGCCATCATTTGGTTTTGTTTTATTGGCATACTGTCACACCTGTTCATTTACCTATTACCTATAGCTATTTTTACATGACAGTGACAGAATTGAGTAATTGCAACAGGACCATAAAGCCTAAAATATTTACTTTTTGACCTCTCATAAGAAAAACAGTTTATGCTTTATGGCCATTACTAGTCTCATCGTGAATTTATGGTCCAACACATTCCCACTGACTGCCTTGACCACACATTTTTTAGTCTGCTGTTGTCCTGGAAGGTGTTCATTATTGTGATCCCATATCAGGGCCTGAAGGAAATGGTTTCTGGTGTAGAAAATCTTTCTTCTTTAAAATAACAGATATGCTTTCTCTGTGATCTATTCTGTTTCTACTTAGAACATTCCCTGCTTATCTGTCTGGCTGACAGAATTTTAATTCCTACATGCATCAAAGGCCATATGTTTTCCAACCCCATAAAACATTTTAAAATTCCTTAATTTATATCCCTTCCTCCATGTATGGAACACACATACTTTCCTAAATTCCTAAAGTGAAGGTCAGAATATCTGGTCTCAAATCTACCATATTTTCCATATCATGTTAAACAGATTGATTCATTGCTTTTAATATCTTTAAGATTAAATGTAAACTCTACCTTGCCAATGTGTGTGTGCGCGTGCATGTGAGAGTGTGTGTGTGTGTGTGTGTGTCTGAAATGAAGAAGCAAATTCATTCATTTGGTATTTATTCAGCCCTTAATGTGCATCAGGTGCTGCACTAGAAATTGAGAAGCATTTATGAAGAGAACAGAGAAGGTCCTTGCTCTTCCAACACTGGCATTACTGTTGGGAAAGAGCCATATTAGAAGAGGGGGGTAAAGTAAGCATTATGTGTTATGGTAGGTGCTTTGAAGGATATGATTGAGAATGACAGGGAAGCAGATTCTTAGAAAAGTCATGAGGACAAACCTCTCTAAGGAAGCAATATTGAGAAAGTCATAATATTTGAGGGAAATCCTACCATATACTGAACCATGAAAGTACTTTATAAGCTGTAAGATGCCACCTCAATGAATAGTCACTGGCTGCAGTCCCCTGTGCAACAGGGGAAAGTAGAAAACAGGAACAGTTTTTCAATTTCTAGGGCTATAACTTTACAGTAATCTTTTTTCTTCCCTGGGAGCCTCCATTTTTAATCCAGTTGTTTATCTCTTCCTCCTCCTCTATTTTTGGTTTTAGAGAACTGTCATCTCTGTGTGATCCTGTCTTCCTGTGCCCTCTCTGTCTTCCCTGCCACCGTTCATATCCTTCCTGCTACTTTTACCTGCTGCTCACTCTGAAAACCTCTGCATCAATTTCCCCTTCTAATTACCTCTATCTCTAAAACCTCTAAGTTTTCCTAAATTGCCTAATTTTTATCTACACTACTTATCCTTCATAATATAAGCAGCTTCTATTTCCTTCATAAAGAGGGGATATTTACAAATTGACTTCACTAGAACTGCCTGGAACCATACCTAACACATAATAAGCTCTCAAATATTTGACCAGTGAGTAGTGAATGAACTGATTCTCCTAATCTTACTCAGCCTATCTACAGAATTAAAGTGGTTTTCTATAATCACATAATCTTTCCTTACATGTAAAAAAACCCCTTTGTGTACATATTAAAGAAACCTTTGCCTTCAGCTGTATATTTAAAAACAAAAATCTTACCATCTATTTATAAAGGTTTTTTTATTTTAAACCTCTTATTTGACTTATTTGTGGAACTTTGTCACTGATGTCAGAGACACCTAGAGACAATGACAGTGTATCTGAGGCCTCCTATCTGAGGTCCTTGTACAGTGACCAGCACAATACAGAGAAGCAAACACACCACATTTAATATGCAGGGTTTTTTTGCGAGGGGAGTTGCTAATGATACTAACAATCACAGAGATTTCACTTTCAGTATTCTGAATAAACAGATGAATTCATTTAGATTAAGCAGAGCGTTTCTAAGGAAAACCTTTGTATTAAGGAAGTTGACATTTTTATAGTTAAGTAGCAACTAAAATCAATGTTTTAAAAAAAAATTTCAAATATGTCAAGTGCTAATGATTAGTCAATAGCTGCTCGATATTATTGCTCACAAATGGTAATAATAATTTAGTCTTAAGCAGCTTTTAGAGAGTTTTCAAAAACAAATGGAATGTTTACTTTTTGTAGGTATAATTTTCAGACTGGGATCTTAGGTACTGTTAAGTATTCATTTAAAAGAAATGGAAATTTTCATTGTGTTGTATCGATTAGAAATAACGTATAACTTTGGACAGTCTCTGTTTTTAGTTCTAAATATTTAAATAATACTAAAAGTAGAATAAGTCACATTGTTTTTTGTTATTGTTGCTTAAGTTATAGTCTTGAATTCAAGAAATTCTACATAATTTAAAATGTGATTATTTAGACTAGTATACAGGTTATCAAGAACAATTTCAAGCTAACAGTTCCGTATTTATGATTTTATATGTATTGCCCAGTGGAATTTATCTATAAAGTAATGGGACAGTCTTTCAAACAAGCATACTAGGAGTTATGTATCTAGAGGCCCTTGTCCCCTTCAAAGCAGTCACCTAGGAAGGCTACACATTTGTTCCAATAATGCTGCCATGGCTTAAAATAGTGTGGAATGCCTCTTTTCAAACTACCTTTGAACTGCTGAGAAATAATAAAGAGTAAAACAACATACTATGTTGAATAACTTGAATTGTGATGGAGATGAATTTGATTTTGGTGAGTAAAAAGAAATCAACCCAGGACCAAGCACAGTGAATAAATATGGAGTGTTGTTTAGAGTCACAATTGGTTATAAATTAACCAGATGGGCTTTCTTGAATAATGCACTAACTCTTGAAATTGGTTGTCAAAGAGGAATTCCAGAACCTTGGACCTTGGAATAAATGTATAAGCTCCCAAGGTAGCTACTATGAAGAACAATACATGTGTAGGTTGAAAAAAAATGTGTGTATGTTTGCAAAATAAGATCAGTTTTATTACTTTATAGACATACCTTGTAGATGAAAAAAATACTCCTATCATGGAACTCTTTATAAGCAAACTTCCGAATGTAAGTAGAACTTCTGTCTCACCCTTTCTAAGCCTGTTGAGAAATCTGAATTTCTAATAACTTACTCTCAGTCTTCAATTTTAAAGAAATGTAATGTTTACCATTTAAAAGGTAGATGCATTTAGGTATCACTTTACCTTTTTTCCCATAAGCTTTGTTGACCTCTGCTATTCAATTTTTTATTTAGTGTATCCATCTTTGTTCACCTGAGACTCTCAATATGCATTTTCTTGCTATAAAATTGCCATCAAACTCTTAAACCAAGGTTGATAATAAAATCTAAGCTGAAGATTATTATTTGTTCCATGTTGTTTTAAGTTCTTTTTCATTTGCATTAGCAGCAATCAAATGTCTTTCTTTTTAATAGTGAGACCCCATTATCTTAGTAAATAAGAATATCAAATTGCAAGAGGTTTTTAATCAAATTAAAGATTTTACAGAAAGTAGGTACCCTCAACTTTAGGGCCCTACTGTGTTTTCATTTTGACTAATAAAAGCTTGAAAGACAGGGTTTAACCAAATGACTGGATAGTGTTTCTCTAATTTAGATTCCAGGACCATGTATGGGTGGAACGGATGCGTCCTGCTTCATCAGGGCTTTTCCAAATTTATTCTGCCACATCTCTCTTCATCCAAGTCCTCAGGGCCCTTTTTCTTCACTGCTAACGTGTAACAGTAAAATAGTAAAATGGAGCGTGGAAGGCAGAGAAAATTGTTACCCTTTTGCAGAGAGGCTTCGACAGCTAAATCATGACATAATTTTAGATGTTCAAATTCGACAACTGTGATTGGAAAATTATGTGACCTGTGTAGGTAGAGATCAAAATGGTCACTAGTTTACAATTTTAAAATCTTATAGTGTGGTGTTTTTACCGCAGACTGATAGAATATTATTTTATTCAGCCTTGTAGTAACTGTTACACAAATGACTATTGTTTTTGCAGTTTGGTGATTTAAATGCTGTGTCTCCTGGAAATCTGGATAAAGGTAAGAACTGAAAATAATGTACGTTTTTAATGATTTTTTTTTATGAGAAATTCTCATACAGGGAAATGTAGTATATTAACAGAACTCTTATTTTATGGAAACAACATATAATTTTAGATGAATGTGACAGTATGTCTTTTGTAATTCTTCATTATTTCTCTATTTCTATGTCTTCTTTATATGACATATATTAAATGCAGGAATTGAATTTAAATGCAATTACAAATTCTTTCTGAATTTTTCCCTGAAGTTCACTATAAGTAATAAGAAATTATTTCTAGCTATCCCCAGAATCCTGGGGAAAAGTGATAAAATTGATCCCAATATTTTTATTCAAGGTCCACCGGGCAAGAAAAAAGATTCCTGCGTTCCCTATCCATATCACCAATTCACACTATTCAGTGGAAAAAGAGCTCAGAGAAAGCAATAGAGGTTATGATAAAAGCAGGATCAGTAGTGGTGTGGGAAGGATAACATATATACTTCTTAAATTTTAATACCAACATTTCCCCTCTAATGTTACAACATGAAGAAACTCATGGTCTACAGACCATACAGTAAAACGAATAGGACTTGGAGGAAAGTAGAATTGGAATAGAGTACACAAAAATAAAATGAAAATTCTGATAAAAATGCTAGCTCAGTTAAAAAAAAAAAGGTTAAAAAACATGGAAACACACAAAAATCACCAATCATCATACTTATTTCTATCCCTAACAGTTTATTTTTCAGAAAAGCTAGAATGACTTTCCTTTTATGCTTTTTCCAATTTTATATATTTCATAGAAAATTTACTGTTAGTAAATTATTCACTTTGTTAGTAACGTACTAGAATTATTCATTAATGCAAGTGTTGAGTACACATTTCAGAAATCCAACCACATTTTCAACTACCACTAACATTCTTTAAAATATTCCATTTGTCTTTTCTCAATAGTTTTGAATTAAAGTTTGTAACATAGATATATGTGTTTCAACTCTGTTATCACCTAGATAAATTGTGTCATTACAAACAAAATATTTTTGAGGTTTATTATGTCATCTTACTATATTAATACTTATTTATTATGTCACCTTACTATAGGGTAATCTATAGTGGAGAACATTAGGATAATCTAAGTTTTACCCTTACTATATATATTATGTCATCTTACTATATTAATACTTGAAATATGCAGCAACATCTAATGGTCCCAGATAATGTATGAGTAATTAAAACAATATAAAATTATCAGGCCTCCCCTGGTGGCGCAGCGGTAGAGCGCTGGCCTGCAAGGCTGCCCACAGCCTCTGCAGCACTGGTTCGAACCCCGGCCGCTGGCAAAGGTCCCACCAAAAAAAAAAAAAAAAAAAAGTTACATAATAAATAAATAAATAAAGCAATATAAAATTGTCATCTTCCTTTTTCCAGTGTGAATTTTTTCCAGCTTCTATCTTAAAATAATGACCCATTTTTCTCCTTGTATTACTTGCTCTTTTCCTATATAAGTACAGATATTTTCTTTCTTTTTTTATTAAATTATATTAAAATAGTTTAACATTTTATTAAAAATACATAGACAAGAGATTTTTAATAAAGTATATCTCTAAAGTTGTTGGCAAGTATCATTTTTGCTAGGTCAGTGAGAAAGCCACTCATTGTGGATATTAAAAATAGAAAGTTATTTCTCCCATTAGAAAGCAATTATGTCCTCCTTATTGGAAAGACCAAATAAGAAAAAAATTTAGATTTCTGGTTCAGAGATGGAAACATGTATTTTCTTTTCTTACTATGTTTTAGAGATGTAATTCAGAGTAAAGTAATTGATACAGATAATGAGAAAAGCATATATTAAGGCTTTTATTTTAATTCATTCTATAAACTTAAACATGATTACTAGACAATTAGACAAAAGTCACAAGCAAGCAAAGCAGTCAAAATATTTCCAGGCTGCACTCACTTAAGATGTCAATTCCAGAAGGTTAAGTCCTGAGTCAAAGGGAATTATTGGAGTGAGGAAGGCACTAAATGGTTCCTAGCTATATTTAAGATTTTCATTTTAAAGAAATGCCTTGTATCTAGGTAGTAAGGAAAGCAGGATTCAAACATGGCACCCAGCAAGTCATTGCAGATGGCCTTCCATGTATTTGAACTTTCTGGGATAAAGTGACCATGGCATCGTAGAATATGCATCTGTACAATTTATGTTGAATGTATACAACTTTTCAGAAAAGTATATATGTATATATGTATAAAATGCTTGTGTTTTCAATAAGCACAAAATAAAAATTATTCTTAATTATTCTAAAACACTATGTTCTAGTGCCATATTTAGAAATGGAAGACTGATAAAGCCAAATTTTAAACTACAAAAAGTAAAATTTTTATAATAAACACTAGAAAATATAGGTCTTTCCAAAAAAAAAAAAAAATGAAGATATTTTAAGACTTTAAGGAATTGAGTTCTGGAGAAAGGAACAAGATGCACAACTAAAGAACTACACAATTAATTCTGCTAGGGCAGAACCAGAACTAGTGAGAAAAGGAGGTACAAAGATGGACTTGGGGAACATGTACATGGGGTGCAATGATGTTCTCAAGAGCATCCTGTGAAGCTGTCCACAGCCTCTGCAGCTCGAGTTCAATTCCCAGCCAGCCAGGGAGATAACCACCTGGCTGGGCAGACCTCTCCTGTCTCGCCTGCTGCTCCCCTCAGCAGTGCTTACGGTCTGTCTGTGCTGCTTCTCCCTTTGTCTCAGGTGAATCCTCTCATCCTCCCGTGCCTTTGGCCTGTACCTCAGTTCTTCTATAAATAAATAAAATCTAAAAAAAAGGCCTCCCCGGTGGCGCAGCGGTTGAGCACTGGGTTGCGAAGCTGCCCACAGCCTCTACAGCGCCGGTTCAATCCCCGGCTGCTCCCCGGCCACTGGAGGAGGGTCCCACATGGCGTGCAGACCTCTCCTGCCCCCGCTGCTCCCCTCAGCAGTGTGCTTCGGTCCTTCTGCCTGCTCTGCTCCCCGCTCTGGCTCTTGTGAATTCTCTCACCCTCCTGCACGTGCTGGACTGTACCCAGTGCTTGTATAAATAATAAATAAAAATAAAAAAAAAGAAAGAAAATACATACAACATTTATTTAAAAAAAAAATACACACACACCCCAAATTGCTATTTCAGATCAAGAAAGATAGCAATTGAAAGCCATTTCCAACATAAAGCAACCCTGATGATGCATCTTTAGGGATCTCATCCCTAAGTTCCCAGAGATGCACTAAGTGTGTTGCTACTTGGCCAAATACTGATTGGCAGCCTGTCTTGTAACAACCTGGGCCAGTCCTTGGTAAATTCCAGTGACATCTAATTACTAAAATTAATTTTAGTTTTTGTGTACCAAATTTCCATGATCTTGAGTATGTCCTAGGAAATGTCTTTGACTCTTTATAGAAACATAAAATGTCCATGGAATTGGATTAATCAACCCTTAGGAACTGGAGAAATGGCTGCTTTTGTGGATTGCTTTGTGGCCTCGCCATAGGAGCCCTGTCTCCCACAAGTAGACCTAAAGAAATGTGCCCAAGAGCACTTAGGTTTGTGTAGCCCATCATCATTCCATTGCCATTTCCATCCAGAACAGGCTTGATGAAAGGGCTTTCCCACTCTCTCCATTTGCCTTTCTGCTTGAAATGACTCTTTCTGTGCTGCCTCTTTTATTATTTTGACTCTGCACCTCAGGCACAGAAGAGCTGGTGGAAAGGGGGTTTAGAGCAGTATGATTTGCCCTCACCTTCTGAATGGTGTGATTCTGTGGGTCCCATTCACCCCAAATCTGATGCTTCTCAAGACAACTAAGCTGCATATTCAGTGCCCAAAGCTTGAATTTGAAATCTTCAAGCTTTTGTGGGCATTCCACAAAATGAGAATTTAAATTTTTTCCTAATAATGAAGTAGTAATAATTCTAAATAACTATTTCAAATAATACAGAGAATTAAACTATGGAAAGTGAAGTTTCATACCACAATACAGTGTGAGAATCATTCCGGACATTTTTTTGGTTATATATAGACAATGTACCAACAAAACAAAAAGTTGCTATATAAACATTTTATATTTATATTCTATTTATTAAGTAAATGTTTACTTTTGTTAGCTGAATGGACAAATATATCCCTTTCCTGCAGCCCACCAGACCTTGTAATGTGCTATTCCAACAAACTCAATATTATCAACAAGTCTGTTTCTCAGAGACAAAAAGGTAACCAGTAGAATAAATGGGCCAAGAGGTGACTTTTTCCTCTTCTAAGAAAACTTCTGTATTTATAACTTACAAATGCATTGTAGACACTGCTTCTAGGCAGCACATCTGACCACAACCTTTTAATCACACATCCCATTTTGTAGGAGACATTGCTCCTGGCAAATGTGCATGGAGCAACTATATATGAAGGCCCTATTATTCCTCATGACTTTCCTCTGGAATCATTTGATAAATAAGAGATAAATAAGATAAATTTGATAAATTTATAAATTTATTTGATAAATAAATTGATAAATAAGAGAAGAAAAATCAAAAGGCCCACATATATTGAGGGCTGCATTTAAAGGGACTTCTGCTGTAGCTGTGTCCAAGTGATAAAACCAGATTCAGGAGGAGACTGTCTTAATCTGACTGAAATACTTGTAAGTTGCTGTACCTGATGCCATAGAAGAGAATGTAATGGAGATCTGACTCTGTTTATATAAGTCACTATGATAAGTCAAAATCCAGCGATAAATATAGGTATATAGGTATATTGTAGTTACAGATGAAGAGTTTATGATTATATGTGTATTTTTTGTATACAACAGAACACATTGAACACAGTTTTTAAAAACAGGAATATTTGTTCACTGTTTAAAAATCACCAGTCATGAGCAGGTGTCCTCTACACTTCTCTGAGGAGAATCTTACATAGTGATCTTAGTGTGAGAATTTTCCCTTTACTGTGTTTTTGAATTTTAACTGGTGCATGATGGAAAAAATTAAGTGGTATTCCATTAAAATGATGTTTTAGTTATTATAAATGTATTAAAAATTTGGAGGAATAGTGACTATTTAATATATTTAATTTCTAGAAATTAATACCAGCTATTACCAGTGAATATCAGTGTTGCCAGGAATGGAATTTCACTGAACATTTTAAATCTGATACTACTGTCTCAGACATCATAATTTTTTGTAATGAAAATTAAAGGTCTGCTTAATGTGATCTCTATTTATGTACACCATAAAGTCTGTACAATAGTCCCTGCTTACACATACAGTATTTTGTGACTCATCGTATTATCTACATTAATATCATTAAATCTAATACAGATTTTAGAAGAGATTAAAATATTCTTTTCTTTTTTTTAGGTAGTATTTTTCAGCTAAGTATATTTCTCCAAAATCAGCATAGTGTACCATGATGATACAAAATATGCCACTATTTACTATAAAAAGTTTAGGAAATTCTACAGATTTTCTTTAAAGAACCATTTGTAGTATCACTTACTAAAGGTATCTAGCATAAATTAGCCAAAAACAAATTACATTTGTTGTTTGAAAGAATTATAGATGTGTGTATAGTGGATTGATACAAATAATATCCTTTGAAAGGAAAATCTACAAACTATGTCCCCTGAAAAGAGCTAAAGAGTGTTTTTCTTAAGACTTTTTTTTTTTTCCCTTAAGACTTCTTAACACTGTGTTAAAGCGTTTCCGGAGCACACATTGATGGCTATTTTCCAATTTGCCTTCTGATGATAGGCTTGGTATTATTTATTTTTGCAGATGAAGGCAGTGAAGTGGAAAGTGAGATGGATGAAGAACTAGATGACTCTTCAGAACCTCAAGCCAAAAGAGAGAAAACCGAGCTGAACCAGGCATTTCCAGTGGGCTGCATGCAGCCTGTCCTGGAGAGTGGCGTGCAGCCCAGTCTCCTGAATCCAATCCACAGTGAGCACATCGTCACAAGTACTCAGACTATCAGACAGTGCAGCGCTACAGGAAATACCTACACTGCAGTGTAAAGAATATTAAAGCATATTTTCCCAGCTAATATTAACCCTGTTGATATTGGGCTTAAGTTGAAAATTTAATAAGCCTGAAGGTCGACTGTTGTCAAATTTTATCTGTGCTGAACATTACCTTTTTGGAGTTGTGAAATGGAATGGGTGTGTGTATTTTGCCAGATCTTTTTTTTTAACGTAAACAAATTATTTGCCTCTTAATAAGAGTTTTTTCCCATTAGTTTCAGGTGTCAAGAAGGATTTTTACAACGCTTAATGTCAATGTTTTTGTTTTCTTATAATTAAAAAGTAATTTACATTTTTTGTAGCTTAAAATTTTATTGTTGATTGTTAGTCTTGGTGTATGATTTCATGTGTAAGTTTTTAATTAGATGCACTTCTGTGAAATATCAAAAGAAATGAATTTCTTTGATTTACACTGGAGGCATGCCCATTTGGCAGCAGATGCATCAAATTTGCTTTTGAAAGGTGCTTTTCATTGAACAGAACCACAAGACACTATTTTGATAACATTTTGGAATATGGAGAGCGAATATAGAGCATTTTTATTACAGTGCTAGAGGGTTGGGAAGGTCATCTATTTTTCTCTGAAGAAAAACCAAGCTGCGCATTTATCAGTTCAGAGTAAATGACAAAATTGCAAGAGATTATGCTAATATGTACATAATTTGTGTACATAATTATTAAACCATGTTAATGCAAGCTTCCGTTAAACATCGAATTTTAACTGTTATTGCATACCAATTCCTCTGTGTAAAGACTACTGATTCTGTACTTGGGACCACTGCACAGGTGCATTCTGCTGTTGAGTGGGGCTGTGATAGTTAGATACTGACGCTGAAAACATGACTTGACTTTTTTTTTTTTTTTTAAGTGTACATGCTACTTATGCTGAGCTGGACATACAGGAAACCATTCCATTTGGATGACTTTCTTTTATTCCAGGTCGTTTTTCTAATAGTAGTTCAATATGCTGCTATTATAAAAGAAAATTTATAGAATGCAAGGAATGTAGCAACCTGCATATCATTATTTCCTTCAAAAATATTTCCTGATTTCTAAAATATGTGGATTTAAATTTTAAACAGAACCTGAAGGCAGTGTAACTGGCACACCGCACTGTTGCTTATCTCCAATTCTGTACGATTTGGATAGGTGGCTGGATGGACCAGTGCCATTGAAGAATGTACATCAGGGATCATCGTACCTCGGCTATTACATGGTGCCTTAAAACAGAACTGAAGCTAAGGTTTTAGTAAGGCTTATTTTGTTCATATGAATTCCTCTTCAATCCATTTAAGGTGTGCCTGTCTTTTTCAGATTCCTGAAGTAAGGACAGGTTACAAGTTCTTCAAAAGAAATTTAGGGAAAACAAAGCAAAACAAAGACAAAAATTAATTTCCCTATTTGAGTGACCGTGAACCTATTTTTTGTTCTTAGAGCTGAATATTACTTGATTACAAATCTGATTGCTTAAGGGTGTGGAATAGCAGGCTAGTTTTAATTACCAACTTGTTACATAAAATTGTATGTGTTTTAGACCATTCTTATCTAGTTACAATTTAAGAAAGTTAACAAAATAAGCAGGTACTTATTGAAGTGCATCTTTTCAGTCTACATGTTTGTCTGTGTGTGTCAGTGTCTGTGTGTCCACATGCACACATGCGTGCATGCGTGCCCGTGGGCAGGAGTCAACTACAAAGTCAGAAGGTGAGATCCTAGAGAGGATACACCCATCCCCTTTTTAATTTACATGAAAGCCAAGGTTCTTTTAAGCACTCAAATTACTAACAACAACAACAAAACAGGCACATCTCTTCATCTAAATAGTTGTTTAAAAAACTAATCAGTAAAAACAAATACATAAAGCCAAAAAAGGGAAAGCACAAATGATTTACAGATTATTAATGAGGCCTATATTAAACTCAAGATATTTATCTTTCCAGTTTTACTGGGGTAGGTGGGTGGGGGGTTAGAAAGAAGAGGGTGAGCCAATCTGTAAAGTTAAAAATACCAAATGGCTTATCGGGTAATACGCAACATATTTCAACTGTTGTAGCCCGATTGCCTTAGACTACTCAAAGAACTAAGATCAACAAAGTTTCTTAAATAAACTTTAATTGTTTTAGATGTAATTTTTAAAATGGATTCAAATATTGTATTATACAAAGCATTCATACATTTGAAAGTCTTCACTTACATCCTGGCATCACCTTCATCCAAATATCATTTAAATGATCATTCCCCATTTTCCTCCCAAAAAGGCAATGGATTGCACCATCGCACACACAGAGACAAACAAGCAAGCAACTACATAGTAAACTGCAAAGACCATGTATCTACTTCTTCGTGTACTAGGAAACATTTACAGGTAAAATTAAAATTGAAAAAACACTCTGCGTTTAAACTCTTTAAATTTTTTCACTTTTCTTTCCCTATTCACCATCCCTAAAACTTACTGTATCCGTACTGGACCAAATGTATTTACTGGTTTCATCTTGTTTATTGAATGATTTTAAATGTATTTGTTACCATTGTTTCCTTTAATTTAATGTTGGATATATTTGTATCATTAGTGGAGTCTGATAATAATGGGTAAATTTAGATTGATGAAAGTTAGGGATTAGGGACCCTCTAGGATGCAACATTTCTTCCAATTGTTCATGGTTTGTTCTAAATTAAAACAGATTAGGAATTCCTAAATAATACATTTCAACTTGAAGCACTAAAAAATATCTCATTTATGAATACAATTAGTAATATTAATTCTTTGAGACTAGTGTACATTGTTCTGACCAATGGACAAAATAACATCTACGATCTATACTTCCAGTTATTTGTCGTCCACAGGGAGATACACACACACACATACACACAATCACAAATACCTTAAGGAATGTTTAACTTAAATTGTGAAATAAATTATTAAATTAAAACATCATCATTTATACATTTGAGCAAATGGAGGGATCGCATTTGTTGCATTTATTCGACATTTTATTTCCACTTGTTTCATTCATTGAAACTGATTTCTAAATATTATACATTAATACTCTCCAAGTAGATTAAGTGATAAGAACACATTTTAAGGACATCTTAATATTTCTTGACATTGTAGTCAAACGCCAGTTATGAAAAATAGCTACATAAACCAAGTGCTATATTTTCAGTGAGGAAAATGTAAGGAAGGTATATTGGCTATTTTTAAGTTTCAGATGATATTATATAATAGGATTGAGTATCATAGGTATAATTTGATTTTCACATATACTTTTGGAATCATACCCAAAAGACTTACATTCATGAAACCAGTGAACAATAGGGTGAAATGGATGTACCACTCCTTGGGACACAGGGCCCAATTTAAAAATTTTTCTGGATATCAAGTTGCTGGTCACTTTTTCAGGATTTTCATCCAAACTATGTTTGGGCTGACTATAAGTCTTACTGCCTTTTCAGAAATCTGCTTTCCTTTTTTGTGCTTTTTCTTGTACTGTATAGCACGGTTCATGCACCTCTCTTTAGATGGTGTACTTTAAAAAGTAAATTTTAGAAAATGGTTTTAACACTGCATACCTAAAGTTAGTAGTGTGCAACATTGACTGCCTTTGATTTGTGGTAGACAAGTAAAAATGAACACGTTCTTGTAGAATGCTGTAAAAGTCATTCAGGAATGAGTCGGTTTCATTACTATAATCATGAATCTTTTTACATGAGTGCACTCTCTAGAAGTGCTAAATGTGATGCATCTTCAAATTAAAATTTTTTCATATGACATATTTGAAATGTCTAAAATAATGCTGTGTTTGAAACATTAGTGTAAAAGGAAAAAAAAAAAAAGTGTGTCACTGTGATGTTGGTCCTCCCTGTGTGGACACAAGTAGAAAGTAAAAAAAATCGCAAGTCACTTTTGTGTACAATTTGAGGCAGTGGTTATATACAACAAATTGATCTTTGTTATAACCTTCCCTCCCCAAAAATTTTGGTGAGAAAATAACAACCACCAAAAAAGTTGAAATTATAACTTGTGATTTGTATGAATGAATCACACCAAAACATGGGGGAGAGGGGTTGACATGCAGTGCTATTAAAAATTAGGCTTGTCACTAGATCAGATCAACCTCCATGTATATGATTAGAACAAATCAATTAATGGAATCCTAGTATTTCTGCAAGTTTGGTGATTTTTAAGAAAAACTGGAATAGAAGCATTAATTCAGTGCTTAGTTCTAGTATTAGAAAACCCCTTTGATGTAATGCCTTGTATTAACCCTTTGAGCATTGTAAGATATACAATGGGGGACAAAAGCCTTTCAGATCATTTATTTAGACTTAGACCGGTAAAATATACTCTATATCCAAATGTCTAATTATGCTGTTTTTTTAAGGGGGGGATAGGAAGAGAAAGTGTTTCCACGCTGAACACTTGCATTTTATATACAACTCTTAATTTTCTTCAAGAGGGCTTGATATATTTATTCCCAAATATTCACTGCCATCTAAGTAAGTGTACTGTTTACAGAAAAAAAAAAAAAAACTTTTCTAGCATCACACCATGACTCTAGAAAAGGAGGACAGATACATGGGCCTCTAGACCTATGTTATAACCGATCTCTGCACATTGAAAGTACCTAGATTGCCTTTAAAAGGTATGATAAAGAAAGGGTTACATTTCTTTTTTTTTCCAAAACAAAACAAAAGATCTCATTTATTTAGCTTTAGAAAGTACATGTAAGTGAAGCCTTAGGAAGAAATGAGTTCAAGTGGATAAAGAAAAGCTGAACTCTTAGGGGGCAGGTAGGCTATTTGGAGTTAGATCTCATAAAATATCATTTGGGAATTTCATACAGGGCATAATTTTATCTATGCTCCAAAACTTTAATGCTTCATCAAAAAGATTATATATAGATAGAATGGAGAGCAAAGCACTTGATATTAAGCTCATCTGTCAGGAAATGCTATGACTACTGCTTCTGATATCTATAAATACCAGTCTGCTTACACAATTGCTGACTTTGTTCAAGGGACGCTCTGCGTGCTCTTGACCCCCTTTGTTCCCTGTGTGGTAGAAACATGAGAGCATTGTCCTCTGCAGATGTGCTTGTGCTGCCCTCGCTGGGCACAAATAAGAGTGTAACCTATTCTGATGTCTGGTGAAAGGACATCCATAGCATAGTGCAAGTTTGCCGTAAACGTTGCTTTTTAGGCAGTTTAGGAAGTCAAACCATGCAAATTACTCATGTGTTAACATGCAATACTCAAAGGGTTTTAATTTAACTCTCTTCTTTTGAATTCTTCACAATGATTTACTGTAAATGCTTCTCAGTTTGCATGCCTTGATCATTGCTGCTAGTGATTTTATGTGCCAGTAGACCTGAGTTTAGTTTACCAATTT